GCAATGCCCGGTAATCCTGCACTCAGGCAAAGCTCAAATGCCAAAGAGTCCTGGCAGACAAGAGCTCTAAAGGGAGAAGATCACTAACACTATTCTAAGTACAGGGAGCAACTAGGACAGCCAACAGGACGGCAAACTGAAGAATTTGCTTATGAGGCTTGTTAGAGACCCAAACACAACACCGCCCTTCTGTTGCCAAGGTATTTAATCCCAGGTCCTCTAGAGCACAGAAGATGACCCATGGTTGTGCCAAGAAAGTCCATGGCCCAAAGACCCCTGATCTTGAAAGTAAATCCCAGCATTATAGACCTGCTGAAAGCCTGAGATAGAAGAAGTGGTGGTTGTGAAGAAGACCTCTTGTGTAAGGATGAGTCCAGCACGGTCTAGAACACAATTCTTTACTTTCCATATTGTTGGGGAAGCTTCATAGACAATGAAGAATAGACAAACAATCTGAGCCTATTGAAAAATCCTTGATCTTCTTTCTCAATATGTGCTGCAATGATCAGAGAATACAATGGTGTTGAAGAAGCAGCTCCAGTAAGAAAACTCTAATTGACTTAGAAATCTGTGAGGCATAGCAGGCTTTCAGATTTTGGGAGCTACTGTATGCTGGTAACATCTGATAAGCCGCCATCTGTAATTTTGGGATAAATATTATGGTATAAGGGAACCAAGATATCGGGCCCTAAAACTTCCTTTCCCTCCACTGAGCAACCACCCCCCCACCTTTAAAGCTGATGCTCTTCTCTTGGCTGACTTCCCCCAAGGTGCCTCGGTCCCTCATGTCACACAGTTCTTAGTAGAGTGGTCATGTGAGTTTTCAGGTGTGTTTAGACATATGGCAGAAGCCTACATGTGGATCCAGTGTGGGATGGAGAACAAAATTGGCAATAAACATGAAGTGATTTATTCAATTGATGCTGGAGTTCACTTACCAACACATTCAGAACTCACCATTATCTTTTAGTTGAAGTATTTCTTTAGATGCATGTTCTGACATCATACATACTAATGTTGGAGTAATACAGAGATGCTTAGCATAGCCTCTGCCCAAAATAACACTCAAAGCAAACTTTGTGAAGTGTTTCATACATTAGTAGGTGGAAACACTAATTGCCCTGATTTACTCATTACATATTATATACTTGCATCAAATTATCACACAGTACCTTACAAATAAGAATGATTAAATATGTAAACCTTTTCATTTGCATTTTAGTTAAGAATCTTTTGAATTTCATTAAGAATCTGCCCTAATCTACACAGAGAGCTAGACCCTGTGGAGAAAAACAAGGTAAATATGGTTCAGTTTCTATCTTGATAAGCAGAGAATTTAAGGAAACACTGTACAAGCTTAAGTACAAAATGTGTTGAAGGAAAGGATGAAAAACATTCCAGAGCATATTTGAGAGATAGTTCCCTCTCCCCTACTCCACCGACATGGAGGCTGGGTAGCTGTTTTATCCTTTGATAAAATGATGACACCATTCCTGGAGCAGGCCACACTTAGAGACAGCTGGCTGGATGAAGTGGTGAGAAGAGGAATGGGAGATAAAGAAGCACATTCTTGATGGTTTCTAGTCAGGGAAGACCACTTTGAGGGCTGTAGTAGCCTTCCAAGTCTGACCATGACTTTTCACACTTAAATGGTGGACATGGGGAGCAAAAGGAAGTGTGAAGGCCCAAGCAAACACAACAGTACATTGGTGAAGAGTGCCAACATGGTGGGCATCTAGCAAATGAAGGAAGACTGGAATGGCTTCCTTCCCAGGCATGAAGGTTGGCACAAGGCCACAGGAGGCTTGTGATATCACCTCACAGGCCCTAGTGAGGCTGGAACTACAGTCATAAATCTTGCCCTGAGTACCACTGGAGATCAAAGAACAGCTGCATGTCTATTTTAGGTACACATAGGAGAAATAGATCGAGCTTAATCTCTTCAGGAGGAAGGAGTTACAGTGGCACCAGACTGGGCACCACTCTCACAAAGAGAATAACTAACTCTCCCATAGCTTCAAGGGTGATATCCAAGGAAGCTAGTCATGTCCTACAGCTGTGCTACTGTATCCTCCCCTGGGAGACCCTTCAAAGCTATACGTATGGCATGTAAGTGCAGGAAATTAAGTGGAATTTATTTGGGTTCATCTTAGCTGAAATTTGGGAGATGGAGCTTATGGGACCTGTCTGGCCTTAGGCAGGCAGCCTATCACCCAGCTGTGTCTCTATTACTGGTGACTGACATCTGCTAGCATGTCAAATCCCACAGACTTTTCTAGCCATTATTTCTAATGTCTACAGCAAACCTATAATGTAAGACTCATTGTTTACACTTGGAGAAATGCCAGTCAAGTTAAGGAAAATGAAGCCCCTCACCAAAGCAACTAGGGGTCATCTTCCAATTTCAGTGCCTTGACTCCTCATCTTCTGGTTGGAAAGTGTGGATGTGAGGGAGTGGAGGTTAGAAAACAAAGTAGCATTGGGAAAGAATTCAAAAGCAGGGAGAATAGCTATTTAGCCTTTGAGAGGAAATGGTCATTCAATTGAAGAGAAAGATTCCCTATCATTAAGCAGATTGTTCTACGGATACGAACCGTTTAGACAGTAAAAGAAATTTAAACAAACTTTAACTACTTATGATTGTCTTACATATGGTGGTTTTAGAAATATAACACTGGAAATAGACTGCAAGATACTCCAAGGGTGCTTTAAAAGCTGAGGCTCCTGTATCAGGCAGGGCTTAAATCCTTGCTCTTTCATTTAAATCCCCAGCAGGTTACTCAACTTCTTTCAGCTTCAATTTTTTTCCCTGTAAATTTAGGCACAGTAATAACATCTGCCTCAAAGAACCAAAGAGGCTCAAATGAGATAACACATGCTAAGTACGAGCTGAGTGCTGTGCTAGGCACCTAATCAACACCATGTCCATGACAGCTACATTAGAAAGGCTGATGAAGAGGTCGCTCCTCTGTGGATGTTTGGATTTGGGTTTGGCATTTTTCATAGGAAGGGGTACCACCTGGCACAAAATTTCTAAGGCTGATGAGACGTGCAGAAATAGTGGGTACGGCACTTAAAAAATACTCCTGAGATCCTAGTCTTAGAAGCATTTCACCCCTGTAAACCCCTGGTGCTGAGGCCCCTTCATCAGATCTGTACCTGAGCTTGACTTTTTGCAGGAGGAAAGGAAAGCAATCCAGATGGAGACAGCAGTTATCCTTAAGAAAGGGATGTCTATACTCTAACTACTTTTACATATGGTGGTTTTGGTACTTTGTCCTCTCAATCTTAGCTATAATAGCAAAGACAACAGAAACCATCAGGACTGGAAAACTATAGGGCCTCATGCCTTGATACCCAAGGATAACTGACGAGGACAAGGATTTCTCTTTGAAAAATCTTTCAAACATCATGACTTTCATGGCAAAGAAGAGATTACCGAAAGAGACTCATATGTACAAGGGCACAGTGAACACTACATTGACTTCCACAATGTATATGAAGAAACAAACAAGTGCATATTGTACAAACAGAATGCTATGGGCACCCTTATGACTGGAACAGGAGGATAAAGCTCATGTGTTAGTGACCAAAAGACACATTGAAACTACAGATCTCAGCAGCAAAGGCCTTGCACAGTGACAAAAGTAAACACGCTCAAGACCTAAACACCCCAATGAGCTCAGATGACATAGCGCAAGCTAGGTTTTCTACCAGCATTTCTCTCTGCCACCCATAGCTTCTTAAAACCGAGGATATACTCCTAGAAGAGGAACACAATAGAAAGAAGGGCATTGTGTGCTGAAGAATCACTAATCTGATTTCAATAGCTGATGAAAAAAATGTGTCATCTGACACAATGGACATTGAAGACCAAAATAAAGTAAAGCTATAGGAAAATGACGGGGTTATGTTTACCCCTGATTTTGACTCAGAGATTTTTCCACCTACTACATACAAGTCCCTTGGTAGAGTTGTGTTGATTCCTACTTTGCAATAAAGTTCACTTTAGAGTGTAAAAATCCAAAATGAAATGCATACTGTTCTAGCCCCTGTATGTAGGAAGCAGTATTCCCTGGCCAAATCGTCTTGGAATGGAGCACACTACATATATAGGCCCAGTGTGTATAAGTTTTACAAAAGGCTCTGCGGAAGTCTTATAGTAAAAAACCCTATCTCACTTTGTTTAAACCAGAACTTCTCAATTTATTTGATGAGGCCATTTTTTTGGGGGGTGGGGGCTGCTATGTAATGCATTTCACTTCAGGAAACGCTGGTGTAGAAAACCGTAGGTGAGAATGGATGATGATGGCATAACTGTGGTGACCCAAGAGAAAAATAATCAGGTGAAACATGAGCCTAAGATTGATGCTAGGGTGCAGAAAATATCATGGCTGGGCATGGAAATGCTACTTGCCAAATGACCCCATATATCTTAGAAATTGGCTGAATTTCTTCTAATATTCTCTCAAGGTCCTCGCTGAGTCACTCCCATAAATGATGGATCTTAATGGTTCCGAATATCTCTAAAGCCTTTATGTGAAACCATCTCCCTTTTTAACTCCGTGATTCACTCCACTCTAGGATACAGAGGCAGCAGGAATAGGCCAACTCCCATTCTCCAATCATAAAACCACATCACAAGAGCAGCACACGGCCATGATGAACTATTAGAAGGCTTGGAACTCATCTAAGAAGTTTAGACGGCTGATTCTTCTGAGACCCTGTCACTTTCAGGCTCTCTCGTGAGGACTGTACTCATTAATCACCCCAGGTAAGAATGGACTCATCTGAAGGCACCCGACCGAAATCAACAACAAGAGAGAACATGAGGCTTCCAGTCTGATTGATCCGAATTTAAACCTCACCTCTGCCATTCCATGGCACTGTAACCTTAGAACAAGCTCTCTCTGCATTTTAGCTTGAGAGTTATATGCTCATTTGGGATTGTTATAAAGATAAGAGGAAATGAGAAATGTGGGAGCAGGTAGAGATGTAGACTAATATGGGGCGTAGTCACTGTACATCTGCAAGAAAGAAGGCACCAACAGATTGGCCTGGAAGCATGAAGATGTGAGGGCAACCAGTGTTATCTTGCCATCCATCACACAGCACCCAGGGTACCTGATTGTCCTGGTGTGCTTTCGAGTGTAAGGAGAAATGACCTTGAAGAGCAGTTCCATGGCTCCATTAATTCCCAGCATGGCACCTGTGGTCACTGAAGACAAAATGTTCAGTAGTCAGTAGCTATTGTCATAAGAAAATGTGTTAATACAATTTGGATTTCATCACTGACAACTTCAAGGGGGTTAACATATATCAATGAAAAATAAAACAAAACTGAAAAAATAATAAACCTCTTTCAGCAGCCTAGTAAGTGGGGTAGCTCTTTCTTGATTGGCCTCTATTAGAATACCAACAGAAGAATGAGTCCTTGTGCTCCAAGGTAAACTAGCCTGGGAATGTCTCCCTTTTCATTCAATGGAGGTGGGGGATGGGGAACGTGGTATTAAAAGGTGGTCATAGATCTGAATGACAGAAAGTGTAGGGGCCAGATAAACAAAAACTTGTAGATGTCACTGCCATCTTCCAGGATGCCCCAGCTTCTTTCCAATATGGTCCACACCCCTTCTCAATTCTGCTGAATTTGAGAAGAGCCCAGAAGAGGAAGCCAGGAGATGCAGAAATGTATGAGGGACAAGGAAGTGAAAGGAAGAAAAATGTTCCTCTAATAAAGTGACTCCTCTCTTTCTTCCATTGGAAAGGTGCTTTGGAAAGGGTAGATGTAGGGCTCCTTGGTACTTTAGGCCTGACTTATTCTGGGAAAATAAGTGGGAAAAGGGCATCTCAAAGAATCAAAGAAAAGAACAAGTGTGTCTTAGATTGACTATTTCGGGCCTCAGGAGAAAAACACAGTATTGTCTCTCAGACAGAGACTATAACCAATGCCTTGACTGTTGCAAGGAGTTATAATGCTATAAGGAGTACATGTTCCTCTGTCTGTACTCCTACTAAGAAGAGCACAAATTAACTTGAAGGATGCAGGACCTGGTGGTGGCCATCAGTCTTCACATTTTTATAGTTACTAATTTAGTCTTTACTTACAAAGTGGAAAATAACACTAGAATAACAATTTTGGCAAGTGGTTCAATAAGAATTAAGGAATTAAGTAGATTTAGCAAAAATATAAGTTTTAATTCCTCTGATTCTAACATGGAAGACTAGACTTGTTATGAGGAGAGGATAACAAAAGAAACATCATTGGGCTCACAATTACTGGGTGGCTGCTCAACATGGCCATCTGGCTGTTGACAACAAGTTCATTGGCTATCATAAACCCACTATGGCTATAGCCAATTTAATCAGAAGGAAGTAGCTGTTCAGAAAGCTTCCAGAAGCAGTCAATGGTGGCTCACGACTCACCAAGGAAACAGAACACACAGGTTATTTGGACACTGTCAGCCTTTCACCAGGAAATGCAATGTACAGAGGCACCATGACCTTATGAGACTGCTAGTTGGTATAATAAATGTAAGTAAGCATATAACCCAACTGGTTATGTTCTCACACCCACACACAAACTGAAGGCTTTCTCAGAGCTAAATTGATACTAAATTGCTAGATATTCATAACCATGGCATATATGTTCTAAAGAAAGCAAGTCACTTGGCCTTTAGGAAACCAAAAGATACGTAAAGTCTTGTACTGTTTCCAAGCACCAAATTGGCTGGCATGCTTTTAGGCTACTCATTAATGGCAGCTGTCTTTCATAAAAGGCCACACTTCCCCCTTTTATTATTTAGGAAATGGGTTTGTACAGATTCATTCAGATATTACCAAATGCTCTCTGGTAGTCTTTGTTTGAGAGAGAGTTACAGAATCAGAGACAGAGAGACAGTGAGAGACAGAGAAGACACTATCTGTGAACAAAGAAATTATTCTGGAGGAAAACTGTCTCTTTATATATCCCCCATGTTTATTAAGAGAATACAACAGTGAAAACTGAGATACTGATCCAGGCATAGTGGCACATGACTACAATCCCAGCTTTTGGGAGATGGAGGCAGGAGGATATGGAATTTAAAGTTATCTTTGACTACCTGGTGAGTTTGAGGGCAGTCTGGGGCTACAGGAGACCCTATGTCTAAAGTAAAATAAAAATGAGTAAAATTGGGATACTTCAGGAGTTCTTAGGATATCTGGAGAATCTACATAGATACACACCTATGTGTGCTCATCACACAATTTCAAAATATTAAAGAAGAGAGTAGGGTGAGGAAAGGGCGGCTGCTGAGGTATGGTCTTACTATGACCTGATCTTGTTTATCACATCTATGAGATCTGCTGAGGGTTGAATGCATTCCCTGAAATGCATTTTAAAGCCCTAATCCCTATGACCTAAAGAAGTAATTAAGGTACAGGAAGTGGATGGGGAGGTGAGCTGGAAGGAGGAGGGAGAAGGGAGGGGGTGGGGAACTGGGATTGGTATGTAAAACTAAAAAATGTTTTAAAAATAAAAAAGAATTATAGAAAAAAAAAGGGAGGCTACTGGAGGACAGATATAATCTAGCCCACCTTGTGTCTGTCATAAAGAAAATATAAGCAAAGAAAGAGACTAAGGTTGTGCAAGCCCATAGGAAAAACCATGTGGGGACACAGCTAGATGACAGAATCTTCCAAAGACCACAGGGACTGGATATAGAAGCAAGCCTTGCCAACATCTTGATCTCAGACATCCAGCCCTTAGCACTGGAAGAAAATTAATTCCTGTTGTTTTAGTGAGACAAAACCTAGCAGATTAACAGTAATAATTATTGGTGCTATAATTTTACAAGGTAAGAAAAAAAAATGAGGTTAAGCAGGTCAAGTACCCATGTTCCATGACTCATAAGAAATAGTATTGGAGTCAAATTCAGGGCTCCCTGGCTCTAAGCCCACATTCTTTCCCCTACAGAGTATATTACATCTAAATAATTGTCACTTTTATTCCCCAGGAAGGGAGCTCAGAAAGGAGAAATGAAAGTCTATGCTCATTACATGTGAGATGGGAGGTATAGAATCTAATCTATTAATGAAAAGTGCCTCTGCATGGAGTAGAATTAACATGATTTTTGGAATTTTAAAGCCAGCCTTCAGGACTTTTTATCAGTATAAATTTAAGTAATTATGTCACTCTTCTAAGCTGCTGGCTTTTCCTTTGCTGAAATATAAAAATGTAGATCTAAATACACAATTATTGTGATAATTAAAAATAGTTAAGTAGATGCTTAATAACTATCAGCTAATATGTTCTGATGCAATCACCAGAGAGAGGATTTGTTGGGAAGGATCATGAGGTTAGACAAAAAAATCAGTTAGGATTTTGTTATATCTGTGAGTAGCTTCATGGAATTAATAAGGACTATTCTTTGTTTTAAAGTGTGTGCATGTATATGCACAGATGTGTGAATGGATCCACATGCACTTGATTGAGGAAGCCAGGTGTCAGCCACAAGAATGCTGTCTACTTTAAGACAGGCTTTCTCATTGGCTTAGACCTCACCAATTATGCTATACCAGCTAGCCAGAAAGTTCCAGGGTTCCTCTTGTCTCTACCTCCCAAGCATTGGAATTACAAGTGCATATCACCATACTAGCATTTTTATGTGGGTTCTCAAGCTCATGCTCAAACCCCAAGTGTTTCACTGCCTGAGCTATCTCCCCAGCCATTACAATGTTTTCTTTTTTTAAAACAGATGTAACACATAATGTTATGAATATGTCGAGATCTAAAGAAAGTCTTTCTCCTGCCATAGGATTTCTTTATCTGCTAGTACTGATAGAGAAACTTGGAATGCTGTAACACAAATCAGAGGGAAAACCGAAGCCAATACCTAGGAACTAGATCAAGAGCTCTACCTGACCCAGGCAATAAATACAATTTCTGGCCTCCACAGCCTCTGGATTATCAGGTTTCTTTCTGTCTGAATGGGACCACATGCATGCTCCATGCAAACCCTTGCTCCCCCACACCACTACATGGTTTCCGGGTGTCCCAGTCTGGTCTGGAACTTACCACTGGAGGCAAACACACGCATTGCCCAAAGACAGTGCAGGAGATTCTGGCTATGAGACAGGTTTTTCCTAGCCAGAATCAAGGTCACATCAAGTGCTTCTAATTCCAGTGCCTTCTGTCCAAACTTCTTATCTAGAACACAAATACATCTCTCTTAATTATGTCTCACATTCATTATAAAGGTTTTGGAAGAGAAGGAAAATGACAGGGGAGGGCAATTATAGACAAAGACATTTTTTAGCCTCATTAAAAATACTCTAAATATGCTCCCATTGGAACCAAATGCATCAAAAGGTGAAGTCTGGATGCACTTATTGACATGAAGGATATGGGTTCTAAGAATGTAAGCATTTGACTCTATAGACACCCCTGGTCATTTTCATATGTATCCATGTCTTTAAGACAAATCTGAGGTGAAGAAAACAACACAGCATTCTAATGCAGTAATTTAATAGTTGTTTGTTTTGAGACAGGGTCTCTTGTAGCCCAGTCTGGCCTTGAACTGACTATGAACTTCTGATTCTCCTGCCTTTATCTCCCAAGTGTTAGTATTCCAGGTGTCTATCACCACATCCATGTGGAAAGATGGGTCAGTGGGTAAGAGGTCTTGCTGTGGAAACAAGAGGAACTTAGTTCAGATCCTCTGCAGCACTGAACACAGCTGTGTGTGGCTGTACTTGTAACTCCAGCACTGTAGGGAACAATAGTAAGAGGATCCCAGCAGCTCACTGACAAACAATTCCAACAGTGAGCTTTGAGCTCAATGAGAGATTCCATCTCAAAAAGAATAAAGTGGTGAGAAATTGAGAAAGACACCCAATATCACTGTCTGGGTTTCTACATATACATGTGTAAATGTACATACATACATGTGAATACATGGACACATGCATATAACACATACACACATATAAAGAATACACATATAAAAGAACAGTAACTTGGTAATCACTGACTTTGAATGTCTTTTATCATTTGACTGATAGTCCCTGACCCCATATGATAAGGATATAACCTAATACTTCATTTCTTCCTAAGAACTCTAGAATTAAATTCTATGCTTCCATTATAGACATAAGGGCACCATGGTTCATAAACCTTAAGTAACTTGACCAGGGTCAAACAGCTAGTGAGCATCAGGGACTTGAAACCAGCCTGCATTGTGTGACAGGGGGATATAGCAGGTCTCTACTGTCTTCATAGAGTTCACTTAGCCCACTCAGCTTTGCTGACTTTCCCCCTTCCTTCAGGTTTCAGCTCAAACGTCACTCTCTCTAACCATGCCCCCCTAGGGTAGCATCAATATTTCTCTTCCTTGAAGCACTCAGCATGGTCTGCTACCATCCAGTTAATTATTTGCTGACCAGCTGACCTGCCCTACTTGGAACAGAAACTGTGTGAGCAGACTCCTTTACTGTCTTGGTCACAAAGATGTTTGCAGTGTGGAAAACAGAGCATGAACAATTACTAAATGAATGTTGTTAGTTATACTGGGATATATTCATGCAGGTGCTAACTAATGCCTATTTCTCAGTCCATCTGTAGAATGCTGATGAACCTGAAGTAAAGGTATAAACAGTTAAACCTCTGGCTTCAGCTGCTGGCAGTGAACATCAAAGGGGCCTGAGCTTTTCAGTTGTGACCGACATGATATTCAACATGCAGTTTAAGCTTAACTGTGAAAGTGTTTTTGCAAAGTATGTATGAACTCTAAATGCTTAGATTATTCAACCCTGCTCCAGGAAGTTCCAGCAACGTAAGGTGTTTCAGGATCCTCCAGGTGGAAAGAAATATCCAGAAGCTCTATTACTATGAGACTTATCATAGTAGGTTGAACTAGCAGTGCCCTACACACACACACACACACACACACACACACACACACACACACACACACACAAACACACACACACAAATCCATTTCTACCCAGACATTCAAGATGGCATGTTATGCTGGGCATTGGTGGGGCATGCCTTTAATCCCAGCACTCAGGAGGCAGAGCAGGTGGATCTCTGAGTGTGAGGCCAGCTGGTCTACAGATCAAGTTCCAGGATAGGCTCCAAAGCAATGCAGAGAAACCCTGTCTGGGGGGGCGTAGAAATGTCATCGTATTTGGAGAGTTTTATAGGTCGAATTGGCTAAGAAGGGATCAGACAGGACAGACTGGAACCTAAACGTAATGACTGATACCCCTGGATGAAGAGGAGAGGACACACAAAGTGAAAATATGGAGAACACTCAGTGAATACAAAGATAGAGATGGGAGTGATGTATCTATGAATCAAAAGAAAAAGAGAAAGGAAAGAAGAGGGGGAGGGAGAGAGGGGGAAGGAGGGATGGAGGGAGGGAAGTAGGAAAGGAAGGAATGAAGGGAGGGAGGGAGGAAGGAAGGAAGGAAGGAAGCAAGGAAGGAAGGAAGGAAGGACAATGTTTTTGGCAGCACTAGGAGAGAAGCAGAAAACAGAACTCTCAGGATCTCCAAAAAGACCCTACCCTGACAGTACTTGGTTTGGGACTTATAGACTCCAGAAGTATCAAATTATATTTATAGTGCATACTGACAAACTGACTATGGCAATTTGCTATGATAACACTAAAAATCGAATACACAAGTATGGTCAGACTTGGTGATGCATTATCTATAAACCCAGCAGTCAGGAGTTCAAGACCATCCTTTGCCATATAGTGAGTTCCAGAACAACTTGGCTACATGATACTGCTTCCAAAACAAGAGAAAAAAAAGCTAATGCACATTCCTAGGAGATGTATTTCCTAAAACTGTTTCATTTTGTGTAAGGGTTTAAAGTGCACTGTAGTCACTCCCATCTCTTCTGACTTATGATCAATGATTTTGCAGCCCATGTCAACTATGATTACAACTATGCATTATCCATTCATTTCTAAGCACCACATCTTTTACTGCCTGGCATCTGTATACTTTTTAATTTACCTTGCCAAGCATTATGGTGTATACCTCTTACCCCAATATGCAGGAAGCTAAGACAGAAGAAATGTAGTAAAAACTGAGGCCACCCAGAGCAACACAGTTTGAAGCCAGACTCTGTGCTTCAAAATAAAAATAACAAAAAGTAAAATCACCTCCCCTGTAAGACTGGCCCTGCTATCACCAAGGCACTTGAGGCATCCTTTCTGCCTCCCCACCAGGGCTGCCCCAACTGCTGTCAGGGAACAACCCCAGTGTATGCTGTCAGTCATCAATTAGGCCTTGAAGTGTTATTACCTCTTAGGCCAACTTTGGCCATCAGCCTGAAGAGAGGCAGGAGGATGTCATAGTCGGGAGAAGCTGACCTTGCTGTGTCCACCAGAGTCTGCAGAAGGGCTTCGCTGCCACCCTTATCGATCATATAGTAAATCCTCCGGTCTGTGCCTGGGAGGAAACCAGAGGCAAGATGAGCCACAAAGTGTATCCCTTCTCCCTAGAGCAGACCTCAGCCCTAAAGGTCAGAGACAAAGCAAAGGTTCATTCAGTTCACCACAGAAACACAGGCTGGCAGATTCTTGGCATGACTCATCTTCAAGGTATGCTACCAACCAAAGGGAGAAAGGTGCGGAACACAGCAACTGTGGAATATTTAGAGATTTTAACATATTCACCTTCACAGATATGATAAATTGAGTGATACTACAAGTTCTGGGGACCTGTTAGCTCTTCACTGATGTGTATGCATGTATGTAGGAGTACATAAATAGATATGCATGCATCATATATACTACATATGAGGGACATTATCATAAACTAAATATTCTTCTGCAAAAACTTGAATTTAGAAAGAGGAAAGGAGTAGTGCCTTATCTAGAATCATTTTATTGAAGGTGTAATGATTTTCTAATTCTGCTTTAGCAACTAGTAGAATGGAAATACAGGAATCATTGTAGGAAACCCCTAAGAAACAAAATGCCCAGGCATTCCACCTACGGGCTCTTGATCAGACTCCAGAGCAATGGGAAGTATTTGTCTTATTGCATCACAACAAGGAAAAACATGAGCTGCTGGTTCTCTCTCACATAGTAAAAGTTAAGTTATAAAAATACCCAGCTACACAGTTTTCTGGAACAGATCACGGCCAGCACTATCCCCGGTCCACAATATGATTTGACATGACCGTAGTCTACTCACCGACAGAAAGCAGATCGCTGAGGACCTGGAGGATGGCCAGGATCGATGCTTTATCAGAGGAGTTCTGCAATGATAACACAGACAGGTATCTTGACAATGAATGCAAGAGGATAGAAGTAGCCTGGTTAGAGATGCAAGAATAGGCAGAGTTAAGCTTTGTTGCACTGAGAAAAACTCTGTAAAGTAAAAGAAATGGCAAGGGAGCTCCCCTTAAGTTAAGTATCAATGAGTACACTCTCTGAGATAGGGGTTCAGAGACTGTGCCTAGACAGAATTCAAGACCCCACTTTGTGAACCAGTTTGATAATAGCATTATTAAGGTACACACAAAAACAAGTACTAATGAATGACCCAGACACAACAAACTAAAGGAGTTTTGTGGACCTCGGTCACAAGAACATCATTTATTTAAGTAGCCTGGATTATTTTTAATGGTGATCACAAGAAGAAACAGAAGCCACCTAAATCCTCTGTTGCAAATACTGGCTTGTCAAACAAAGATAAGCTTTGATTTTTCTCAAGGGAAGTGTAGAATAGTAGCAGATCCTCTTGTGGGGTTTATCTCAGAAATCCTTGTAAGTCTGGACACTGTCACTTGTTTTTTAGAAGAGAAGTCTTCATTCAGAAAGTACAGGACTATGTAGAATTCTCTGAGGTAACCTATATCATAGCTCAAGAAATAAAACCCCCTCTTTGCAGGTTCCCACTGTAAGGTTAGGTTGTGGTCATTTTTGTCTTAGTTTATTTGGATAGGTATGCAATTTACAACAAAACCTTAACATTCCCATGAGGAAGTCTTTTGGCTTCAAAAGTCAAATGGCTTCAAAGACCTCAATAACTCTTCAAAGACCACTATACCTACATAGGACAAAGGCAGGAAACCAAAATTTTTCATCTTCTGTGGCTATCTCCAAACTTCATTATTAATTTAAACACTCCTGTCCAAAATAGATGTTTCCAGTGGTATGGAAACTTGTAGGTTCCTGCCCCCGGCAATGTTATAGCTTGGTCTACAAGTTCAACCATACTGTTCCGTTTTATGGCAACTCTTTCCCTGCCTTTCAACCTGGTCAATGCTAGCTCATCCTTCCAGTGCATGGTGAACCCTGGGGTATCTCCAACCTTCCCTCCCACAAGCCAGGTCTGGGACGCCTTCTGCCTCTCCATCACCTAGCTTTCACTTCTTGATACCACACTCACTCTGGACAGTACTGACATTGATGTGCCACCTTGCTTCCTATCCCACCTCTACTAGGTACCAGAACCTTTAGCAAACAACACCAGCAGAGGGGTTGCTCCAGATAAAATATGAGATAAATGTTTCTAATGGAATCCAAAAGAACACCAGGAGATCCACAAAGTCCCCTACCATCCAAAATACATTCCAGAAAGTCACACTTCAAATGAGACTGAATGTATTTAGGGTGGTACGGCTGTAGACAAAAGTCACACTTCAAAACACCTAACAGGGCTATATACTCCAGCATAAAATTTTAGAGGACATTAAGAGACATTAAGGCAAATATCTTGATAGTATATTTTTACAAATAAAAGCTAATGAAAAACAATTGTTATGGACAAAATACCACTTATTAATTCCTTCTCCAAGTGACTAAGGCTTCTGGGACCACCTGCCCCTCAGAACTTGATATATAGACCTAGCAGGAAAAACACTAGATATACTCTAGCATCTCTTCATGGAGCTTTGACTTAAAACAGGCATCTCCACGAGGCCCTCATCATATTAATAGAAGGTATCACATCCCAAATTTCTAGTCCATGTCACCCTCTAGCCACTGCCAGTTATGGATATACATGATGCCAGTGCCTTTCTCTACTCAAAGCTGGGAACAAGAACCAATGTTCTTTTCTGACACGGAACTATCATTTGGGGTTTGCATAACTCTAAACCTCTGCAGGTTGACCCAAAGATTATTTGCAGTAGAATAAAACAAGTTTATGAAATTATTTTTCTGGCTAATATTGACATTTATGGGTCACACTCAAATCACATCCTTTCTGTGAAGACAAGATATAAGCTTTTTGTGAGACTACAAATGTTTGATAACTTAAAATGCTAGACTCATTACTTGATTACTAGGAAAAAGAAAATAAAAAGGGAAATGAAGAGATGAGAAAAAAGAGAGAAAAACTAATAAGGGAGAAGCTGATGGAACAGAAATAAAGGTCTAACTTTCATTTCCTTCTGTTCAATTATTTATGCATTCATCCCACAGACCTCCATTGGATGTCATCTGTGTTCTAGTCACCAACTAGGCAGTGAGGATACATATTGATCAAAACACAATCTGCCATCAGGCTCCAGGACTGGCAGAGATAACAGCTGGCAGACAGTCAGACCTGGGGATGCTGAGGCTGTGGCAAAGGTAAACACTGGTGCTGGGAGAATCGAGGGAAGGGACATTTAACTCAGCCATGTCCATGACTGAAAAATCAAAGAAATCAAATAAAGAGGGGATAGTGGAGGTTCTAGGCATGCTGTAGCCTCTTGTTCCCAGAGGGAAGCATGGCAGCATGGTGACATTGGTATGTGAATCTGCATTCTATGTGACCAATAGAGCAGATGGTGCAGGGAATTTGAAATGCTTTGTGGGCAAAATCTAGGTCTTATTTGTCTCTGTGTTCCCATCTCCTGAGGTATAATAGGCAATCTGTATATTTTATTGAATTAATTTTTCCAGCTAAAGAATTGTCTCCTTTGTTACAGGGCCCACTAATACTCCCTGAGAACATCCTTGTCTTGCATGTTCCCATTGTATTTTACAGAAGGGATATAGCTGGCCATATGTTACATATTAAATCACCACCCCCAAGTTACTTTGACCTGTGGCCAACAGTACAGGCTGCACACAAATCAGCCATCCTTCTGTAGTTCTTTCATCAAAAACCATGCATGTAAGACTAGGGCGATGCCATAGTGGTTAAAAATATTGGATGCTCTTGTAGGGGACCCAGGTTTGATTTCTAGCACCCACACAGTGGTTCACAACCATCTATAATTCTACTCCCAGATCTGATGTCCTCTTATGGTCCCCATAGGCACTGTATGCATATATTACACATACATTTATGCAGACCAAATAACCATTCACATAAAAGTAAATCAAACAATAAATAAATAGTTCAATTTTTTTTTTTTTGCTTTAAAGGAGCAATTGAGCACAAACAGATGATATTGGTGCCTCTCCCCAGCCTAGAGAAGAAACCTGACCAACTCTTTGGAACCCCTCTGGAGTTAGCATGACTAGTTTACAAGTGGACATCAGCCCTGATTCTGGGAAAAGAAAACCTACATAGAAGTCTGCCTGAAGATTGTAAAAATTATTTTATGCAGAAAAAAATCCCTATTTTTTGATGTTCTTGCATGAAGACATTCTTGAGTCCTAATTGATATTGTTAAGCCACCAAGTCCACTTATCTGTGGACTTTCAGATAAAAAAATATAACAAATAAGCCCACTTACAAAGTCTCTTAAGGTTGGAAAGTATGCTACTAAATTCAGTTGTGACCCTTAAAGAAAAAAAAATTATACTTCTATGTACTCTCTGCCCAAGCCTAGTGGTCTTAATAGAAAAGAAAGAAATTGATTTTACAGACATGCTGTAGGTCCATCCAGAGAACTCTGATATGACAAAGTAACAAAGAAGACAATTCCCTCCTACAGATGTTGAGCTTACTGCCTTCTCACTCAATGCTCAGCTAGAATATATCAGTGCTGTTTTTCTTTAAGTAAAAATTATGACTATCAGTGGAGGGGAAAATGTTCCTCAAAGTTGCAAATGGCATTAATTTATGCATTGCTATATTTACCAATAAATATTTTACACTATTTAGAAGAATAGCACAAGCCGTTATCTCACCCACAGTAATAATAAATGAGCAATTAAGGAAGGCAGGATGTGATGTGCCTCGATTTTCCTTTAATGATTTCGTTTAAATGAATCACTGAGTAATCTCCTGTCAGTTAAGACTTTCCAATAGAAATGGATCTTCCAAGCTTTCAGGGAGAGACAAACAGTAGGAAGTACAAACAGTGTCTTTCAGGGACTGCAGTTTTGAATTAAAATTTTCTCATAGACTGTTTTGAATTTGTTGCTTCCTTGCCTTTAGATTATCTGTCTCTCCCTTCTACCTTCCTCCTCTTGCCTCAGCACTATAGTGTGAAAATAAGACTCTTCATATCACTGCCATGAAGGCACATTTTCAGTCCTTTCCCCTACCCCAGGGCAGAACATGTCAACTACACAGAGCCAGTGAGCATCATGGGTACTTGTGCTTTCCGGGATATGTTCATTCTGATTGAACATCATTTATCCTCCCTCATACAATCATATTCCAGTTTCCAGCTCCAGTTCCCCCTTTCTGCATTATTTTCACAGCTATCTTATTTTCTCAGCACCCATTATCCACATCTGCCAAATGTCTGAACACACTGGGTACTGCACAAGTCCAGTGGATCAGTAGATGATGTTGTTCATGTAGGTTACAGTATAACTAGTAACCACTTGAATGAGGCAGTGCTTGGCCTCAAAGGAAACAAACTTATTTTCTGTACATGTGTTTTTTCAACACTTTATAATGCCCTCCTTAGACAAAGCTTGCTTGAGCCAGATTATTTTTCTTACCTCTCGTTCTGGTTATGTAAGATGGGGTACGGTAACAAACTATTCTAAAACCCAATGGCTTCAACAAACAATCTTTTACCTTATTTTGTGATCTGGGGAGTGGGAGAATAGAATAGGATGTGGTTGGGAGTTTGTTCTGCCTTCCTTAGTGACAATTGGGGGCAGATGTGCTGATCAGAAGATGTCTAGAATGGTGACAATGAGATCTGGAGAGTTGGGCTCACCTGGGACTATAGACTACATATGTTCTTTTTAGTAGAAGAATTTTAAGTATCTTGAATGTCTGATATGACAACTGATTTCCCCCAGGGATAACATTCAAAGAGAATTAGCTCGAAGTCTCGGGCTTCTTTTGACATTGTCTCAGAAATCATATGAGTCATATCTACTACGTTCTATCAGGTAATTGGGTTATGAG